CTTATTTTTTCAATAAAAAATGTTATTGGAAACTGATGTGCCTACTTAATTTTATAATTTTCAATTTTTGTTTTTTTTTTGGAAAAAGTTCTATCTGACTTCCAGAAAATAGAACGAAAATTGAAAATTATTGAATTAGGTAATTTTTAATCCATAATCCTAAAATTCATTCACCTATTAAAGTCATACTAGAAACATATAGAGGATGTTTCTTACACCTGCCCCGGATGTATTAGGTACATCCCGCGTCATCTTAGAAACATCCCTGAGAGATGTTTATAGGACATCGCAAATGATGACACGGCTGTTGCCTGCAACATCCCAGGGATGTCCCCAGGAAAATAGGGACCTCCCAGGGACGTCTTCATTATCCCTGATGGATGTTTCTGGAATGTTTCTGCGATGTTACTGTGTTATTAGGGTGTCGGGACCATTCCATACGCAAATGGAGAGACAGGAACTACCCTGGGATCAACCATGACCCACGATGCATTACTTGGAATAATCTACTTTTGTCTAATAGTCTTCCTATTCTACATAGCTTATCATCTGGTCACTTGCAGGCGCTGCCAAATCTCTCAATGTTGTCATAAAAACTCTGAGAAACAGAAAAAACGAAATAGTGTCCCTAGATCCTGCGAGGAAAATATTGAATTAAAAACAATCACCCCTCGAATCACCCCCTCGTCCCAATTGAATTCAACTGAGAATTCAACAAAAAGATTCTCAATAGAAATAAATGATGAGAAAAGTCAAATATCTCTAGCCCCAGGAGAAAAAATTAATTTATCAATTGAATGTCTTTGAATAAGTACAGGATGTTTCCTGTGCAAAGTAGATAGGCCCAAAACACTAAAGGGTACTTATTTTTAATTATTCTTCTATACCCTTGTCAATTGATGTATATTGTGGTGTTATTTAAGCCTCAGCAGTGATATCACAATGGCCAGCTGTTGGATGAATATCATTATAATTGCATTAATGCTTACTCAGTATATAAGAAAAATTAAGACAAAAAGATACATGTATGTGCACAATACATGTTGAAAGTACGGACGTCGTACATTTTTAATGAAGAAAAAAAAAATATATGGGTCTAATCTAATTGGGGAGTTAGAAGTTGAATAAACAAACTATCTAACAAAATATTTGAAAAAGTAAATAAAAATATATAATGGGTACCTAATAGGAAAATAATGAATTATGGGATAAAATGGAATAAGTTTACTATTAAGTATAGTCTTCACATGAAGTGAAAGTGGTCCAAAATTCACTAAATTCACTAAATAATAATTACCCCCACTGAAAAAAAAAACAGAGACATATAAAATTGATTCAGTTGATTGGGCATTAAGGGAAATCAGGGGACCAATAACATATCAAAGCACGATTTAGAGAAATAAATAAATAAGAATACTTTAAAACAATTAATTAATATACAAATATACAAGTTTTTTAAACTAATCTTTAATCGACTATTTTAACCTAGTTATAATATGGGAAAAATTGAATTAATAATTAAGGGGTCTAAGTTTATATTGGTTCTAGACGTACGTAGTAATAAATTTAGATATTAAGCAGTAAATAATAGGAGATACATACACTTTTTTTTTGTTTCATGTACACAAACTGTAAAACCCGTCGAATCTGAGACTCTGAAGCCTTGAACCTCCATTCCTATATGATGAAGAGTACCAGCACCGAGACCAGCACCAATACCACAGAAACCCAGACCACATGTGGCCAGAGACTGCAGTCTCTGGCCACATCCAGCATGCAGGAAGATTCTGTGAAAGCTAGCAATCAAAAGCGCACTGTTGCCAGTATTCCAAAGTTCTGATCAATCTGAACAAACTGGAGACACCACCTGAAAATAGAAGCACAAGACAATCAGCCAGCTATAGGGATAGGTCACTCAAGTTACCTATCATGCCTCCCAAAGTCTGCGAGAATTCAATCAGACTACCAAACCGGTCACAAACACACACACAAACTCTGAACTTATCAAATGCAAGGCAAGCCGAGAGAACAAAAATACTCAAACGCCGGAGTACCCATATCAGCAGGGTCAATCCAGGTACCAGGGTACCAAAGAACACTACACACTGCACAAAAAACATCTTCACAAAGGGTGTTCTCCCAGCATTAAGAGGCGACGACACTCCCCGCAACCGAAAACTGCTTAGCTTGCAACCCAAAAATAAAAAACTCATTCATGGAAGTTTGTTTTGATTTCTGTAACCAAAAAACGAGGTTATGTCAAGTCAGAACCATAACATAACCAAGTACCGTACTGTGCTAGTACTACGAGTACCTGAACAAATCGAGGCAGATCCCAGCATCCGCCAGGTCAAGCTAATGACTTGGGCGGGCGAACCCATAGATGGCCCATCATTTGCAAGCGATCAGTGCGACGAACCAAGCCAGCGCCAGCCGACTCCGACTTACGACGAAACGCAAACACAGAACAGCAACAGCAAAATGGAGTAAACCAGACCGACAGGGCCGTATCAAGGCTCAGAGACTCGAGAAAACGACGTGTACAAGACAAGGTTGTTTTGAATTTTTTTTTTTACTTTTAATTTCTTTTGTATTTTAATTAGATTTAATTTTTAGGGATGTGATTTAGGGACCTTCAGCCATTCTCTGTAATACTTTGGTTTATCTAGAGCTGGGGTCCAGCTCTTTTACGCCCGAGGGTAATGTCACGCTAAAAAGTTTTTATAATTTACAAAAGGAAATATTTTTCATAAAAAAACTGAATATTTTAATTTTCTATTCAAAGTTCAGTTCACTGACTGTTCGCAAAACTGCAAGTCGTTTCCTTTTGTAAAATTAAACAATTTCGGTTATGAATCAATAACTATAATTTTGTAACTTCGATGAGTCCGCAAAACGATAGTTCAATTATTTCAAAGGTAAAATTGATTTTGCTGACTTATCAAAGACTCGATGGCGAAAAACCGAATTAAAGCTTGGACAGTACCCTCGCAGACTTCAAGAAAGTACAAAGTGTTGTGCAAAATTATGTTGAGTCATATAATGTAAGTACGAACCAAAATCTTTCGATTTGTATTTTATCGCAATCTGATTTAACTTTCAATTTTTAATTTCCAAAATTTCATTTTGTTTTATTTTATTTATTCAATTTTTTTGTTAAACTTTCTTTTCTATTATTTATTAATAAATCCCGATTTGTTATTGTTTTAAATTGGACTTTTTATTCCTTCCAATCCCGGATTATTCGTCTGGTATTTGGACGACGTTGCGACCAAAATCTGGACGTAACAATATTTTTCGAAGGATCGATGCAACCCTCTTTTTCTTCTGTATTTTGTTGCATTTTTAGCAAAAAGCATTCCTGACCACGACAGACTTTCAAGAAACTGAAAAGACATTTCGTTACCTGTAAAACAAGGTGCTGGTTGTATGGATTTTTTGACAATTGTCAAATTCGAGAATTTTATGTAGGAAAGATGCTTCCAATTTATTATTCATTTAAAAATCCAATTTGTTACTGGTTATTGCTTTTTATTACGGTTTGTAGAAAAAATATTGTATGATATTTGTGTTAAAAGTATTTTTAAGGCACTTACGTGAAAAACTTTCACATGCGTGCCTTAAAAATGTACTTTTAACACTTATATCATAAATAACTATTTTGAATCATATGTCAAATAATTGTCACAAAAATTCACAAATTCGATCAATTTAGCCCCAATTTTAGCTTATTAAAAGTGTTTTGTTATCTGAGATAAATAAATATTTTGTTTTGATTTTACATTCGTGGAATTGCCGTACTAAATACCATTCGAGCTCAGATTTTGAGCAGGATATTTTTTTGCTTGCTCTCTCATACTTACTTTCATGCAATTTATCTCGATCTGTTCGGCTCTCGTTAAATTTCCTGAAAGTAAGTATTCGAGACCAAGCCAAAAAATATCCGGCTAAATCTGAGCTCTTATATGGTATTACCTACGAATATTTATTGGAATAGGTTAAAAATATATTATTTCTTATTGGTGTGGCGTGCGCTTAGAACTGGGTATTTTTTAAATTTTTACACCCTGTATACTGCTAATTACAAATATACTTCAGAAGAAAAATATTTTTGCTAAATTTTATCAATAATAACAATTATTACATTAGTATTACTAGAATAAGTAAGTTAGAAACGTTGATGTCCACTTTTTTTCCGTTTCGCTACACTGTGCGACGGTGTAAGTTGACGGGTGAGGCGTAGCCGAGGCCGGCAAACACCGAAGGCCGAGAATGTGCTTTTCCACCGAAATAGATATACTATTTTTTCTGCGATCGGTGAAATATACATGAATGTTAAATGTTTGTCTTTTTGTTCCAATTATTCAGTAGTGTTCATTGATTTCTTAGCAACTATTGAAACATAATTAAAATACCAGAATATTGAGTTGTGCAACCTGTCAAAAATGCTGACATTTCTTGTCAATCTCAGAAAAACTATGTTTTCATGAAAAGTCATGAGCACAGAACATATCACCTCTAGAAAAGTATTTGCAATGTTATGTACCGGTTATGAATTACAGCGCCATCGTTGAATGGAAACCCAACTAATCGAGCATTCTTGACAAAAAGGCGAATTGATTTTTTTCATATATTTTTACTATTTTTAATGTTCAACTGCATTTGGCTTGCTGACTTCTTTTAGCTCTTTTCGCCTCATTTTTTTGAAAACTACCAAAGCCCTCTATATTGTCTAACGACAAGCCGTGAAGTTAAAATGGCAACGCTGCATATTTCTCTTCAAGTGGTCCGGTTTGGTCCGGCCGCCTGGTAACGCGGCAAACATTAAATTTGAGATTTTAAATTTTAAATAGAATATAGGTATGAAGAGGATAAAAAACAACAAGAATTTTTGGCATTTCAATCATTTTATTGGGTAATTTACATTAGAAAAATAAAAATTTAAGTGAATTTTTTAATATCTAACATAACCTACAACTATTATTATTGATAAGTAGCAAGTTTTCTTTTCTTTAGGTTTGAATTTTTATTCCTGTGAATTTCACTATTTTTATTTTTTACAAAATTGTTTAAAATAATATTAGCAAAAATAAGAGCAACTGTGTAATACATTTTATAATATGATACGCCACATTCGCAAAATTGATTGAAATTTATTAAAAACTGTTGGGGTTCCAAACTTTTCAAACTAAGTGTTGCTAGTATATTTTTGTGGTCACTCCTACTAAAAAATTATTGTTCGGTATTAGTATCACTTCCGATAAAATTAAAAATTGCTGAAATATGATAATAAATATATCCAATTTCATCGGAAGCAATACATAGACCTCCTCTTTGCAAATGGTTAAAATAATCATCTTCAATAATTTCACCCTTACTTTTAATCACTAATGACAAACATGTTGTACATTTAATTTTTTTTTGAAGAGAATGTGCTGCATAACCACAAATATATGTTTTAACAGATTCATCAAGTTCATATTTTACTAGGTAATCAGTATTTAATATAAAATTAAAATCTGAAATGTCAATTTCTGTTTTGCTGCTATTTTCTTGCAAAAAACGAGACTTCAGAAAATTTAAATCTTGTTCAGAGTCACATGATTTTAAAAGATTCTGAAGTCGAATTTTTTTTTCTGACTCCAACACTTGATAAAATGAAATGTTATAATTACTGCCCGAGAGATTTCTGTACCTACTAAAACGCCTTTCTAAATTGTCTGTTTGAAACATTCCAGGAAGTATATATTTAATTTGGAATTTACTAAAAGAATATTCAGTCAAAGAAATAAGAACCTCAGTGCTTCGCCTTATGGCATTAGAGGTATCCTTAGTTAGGCCAACACTATTTTTATCACTGTGCCATTGATTAAGCCAACCTAAAAAATGTTTCAAAAACTCTATAGAATTGTCAGAGCTTGATGAAACTGGTTTAGAAAATTCTTGGCGTTTTAATTTTCCTTTAAGTACTGACTTTGTGTTAACTATGTTCCACCAATTTCTTATAATTTGCATAAATTCTGAAGTTTCAATATATTCGTCATAACATTTCAATGCAGCAATAGTAGAATCGTGGAAGACATTGTCAGCCAAATTAACATTCTGTCTTTCTAGATTGTTAGGAAAAACAGTTTTATCATTCAGTTTGTATGCCTTTTTAGCTACATGAGCAAGCTCTTTTTTATAAAGCTGCCTGATATGTGCAAAAGATGCCTTTTTACTTATTGAAAAATCATTGAAATCAGGATAAATAAATGTGTTTTCATAATTTTTAAGGTTTAGCCAATTAAAGTAAATATTTTTAAAGATGTGTACAAAGTCGTAGGCCAAAAATATTTTTTCGTTTTCAAAATCGGGATTATCCATTACAAAAGTTTCCGAAAGTTGCGAAAACATGTTTATTTTCAACCACATATGTAATGTTGACATTGCAGGTTTTTCAAAATCTTGAAAGTGTCACATTTCTGGACTTTGACATTTATCGGGACGGTAATGCATATGCCTGCCTAGGACGGAAAAGCATTTTCCGTCCGGGACGGCAAATGCTTTTCCGTCCCCATTTCCCTGCTCGTTCCAAATTGATAATTTTCATACAGCTCTCACATATAATAATAAAACCACATGTATTACATGGAACTAATTAAATCTATTCACTTATTTACATTAATTGTTAAATTAGCATTGTTGTTTATAATGGAAATCTTGAGACCATCCTGTTGGAATTGTGTTTCGTTTGGAACTATTATCTCTTGCGCTTGCGGATGAGTTTCCGCATGTGATGTACTTGTGGATGCACTGGACAACTGAATACCTTTGGAAGTAGAGGATAGCATCAGAGCAGTCTTACTTTTGTTCTCCAAAGATGCCTCTATGTAGCCTTCAGCAACCGTGCTCGATTTCCACCCTCCCAGTCTTTTGAGTTGCAATAGATCGGCCCCGTTGTCAACCAATAAGGTTGCGGAAGTACGACGAAAAGCATGCCCTGTAAAAGTTTCAATTTTTGGAAGCTTCAAAAAAGCAGCTATTTTATGTGGAAATTTTGAGATTGAATGATAGCCAATTGCTTGGTTATGTAATTTCCCATTTCGCCATTGAACAAATAACCTGTCATTTTTCAAATTTTTCCGCAAAGTGAGGTATTTGTGGAAAATAGCAACCCAATCTGGATCGCTTATGATAAACGATCGACTTGTGTAAGTTTTTGTGTGTGGAATTTCTATAGCGATCTTTCCTTCCAAAACGTTGACGTGCTCCATTTTCATCTTGACTAGTTCATCGCTCCTACATGCACCCGACACACCAACAATTAGCGCTACCTGAAACCAGATAAAAATAAAATGGGTAACCTAGCTATAGCATACAGAAAATCATTTTGATTTTCGCATTTTTATCTTCTTTGTATATTTTTTGAAAACCTACCTTGATGCTAATGAATTCTTCAGCTGCCTTCGTGAGGAACTCGTTAATGTTTTCTCTGGAAAAAACGCTCGACTTTTTCGGCTGAAAGCCCAGATTTTGCCGCTTCAAAAAAGCTATAAGTTTTGCGTAATTGGAGATATCAACTTTCTCTTTCAATTTAATCATGGTTTTCAACATACTGTAAGTCGACCATAAAGTCGAAGGCTTCTTTTCCTTAGATAATTCGCCAAAATACGCCAACAAAACGGTCTCCGAGGCAGTATTTCTCGTTCCTTTCTGGCTACACCATGCTTCGAATATTTGAAAAGCCTTTTCGTACCGAAATTTGCTTTTTGCTGGAAGCAAACTCTCTCCAATCCTGTCTGCTGCTTCTTTTAATTCAGGTGGGGTACAATCCATCGCTTCATCTTCACTTTCCGAAATCATTTCTTTGGGGAGAACGGGGAGAAATCTAGTGAAAATCTATTATTTCCGCAAAAATACTGAGCGAAAACTACCGTCGTTAAGGCGTTGTTGATCTTATCTATGGTTGTTGATTTTGCGGTTTCCTGTGGTTTCGTCTTTTGTTTTGGCCTTTACAGGGCCTTTGAGATCGTCAAAATTGATGACATTGACAAAAAAAGTGAAATATTTTTTTCTAAGGCCAGTTTTACACTATATGAAAATTTCGTATAACAGAATCTTTAGTTTTTGCATCAGAAAATTAAGGGTTGAAAATAAAAAAGTATACAAACCTCGACGGAAAACTTCATTTCTGTCTCGAGGTTGAGTTTATCTCGACGCTTCGCGTCTCGATAAACTATAATAACCTCTCGACCAGCAATGAAGTATTTTCCGTCTCGGATTGTAATATACTATTTGATTTACTCTGTTATTATCAGTTATAATACATTAAATACATAACACTTTAAAGTTGTATTTTTGGATTAAATTTACTGTCTCTAAAACGGTATGTGAGAGTTGATTTCCGGTCATTTTAGATACAGGAACTAATCGTATTACTTCCTTAAAATGATCGAATGGCGAAGAAATCATAAAAGTTTGTATAGTTTTAGCATATTCACTGGTATTATTTTCAGCATAACCAGTTACATTTTTCGCCTTGTATTGTAGTCCACTTTTAATATATATTTCATCTACCAGTAGACATACCACTTTTTGATTATCTGTTAGATTTGAAGATAAATATGAGAGGTAAGTATTTTCTTTGGAAATATCATTATCAGGAAAAACATTAAGATCGGCTGAAATTTGTTGCAAGTGCCGTTTAGTGGGCAACTTAAAAAAGTCTTTAATGCGTTCATATGCTGATGAAGACTGACAATAATGAATAAAGTATAGTTGCCATGCTGTATTTTCTTCTTTTTTGATAAAGTAATGACAATTGATCGGAAATCAACTGTAAGAGCGTTAAATTCTCAGAATCTGTATCGACATAGTTTATAGCTTCTTGAATATTTGTGTAAGCTTTGTCCACATAATACTCACAATTTTTCGGTGACTGTGAAGAAAACTTATATCTAGCAAGAATATTTTCTAGTTGTGACCATCGATTCAGTTTCTTGTCCTCGGGTAAAATCCATCGCAGCTCACATATTGACAGTTCACAGGTTCCAATAAAGACTTGTACAGTGAGTGTATTGTCAATAATAATACTGGAAACAACACTAACACTTTCTTCACAGTCCAAGTCACCAACACACAGGTTTAATAAAAAAAAGTAAACTTTCTCTCCTTTAACTTCAAAATCCCACGGTTCTAAACAGACTTTTGATTTAAAAATTTGAAGAAATTCCGCAAAACTCTCTATTTTATCACTTTTCAAGAAAGTCTGTGTTTCCTGAAGTAGTATGTCTCGAATTTTTTCTCTCCTTTCTTCGGGATCAACCCTAGAAGTCGCTAGAGATTTTGACAAATATTTAGGCTGATTAGGAAAAATATGGGGCACTGCACCTTCACTTAATCTTGGCCTCTTAAGTGGAAATTCACTCAAAACTCCTTGTTTGTTTTTATATGTTTCGACTCTTATTATTTCCGATATTTCAAAATGTTTTTCACAAACTACTGAACCACTGGAAACCTCCCAATTGTCTCTGTGAATGGAGCGAATCCATTGCTGACGAATGTGTTCCTCTTTTGGAAAGGAAAATGTGGATTTCATTGCATCATGTTCCATTGCACTTGCATAATTTGAAGTACAGCCAGGGACGCAGTAGTGTCTGGGCATCTAAAATTAACGACATTATTCCTATTTTATTAGTATTGAAATTCAAATATCAGATAAAAAGTATCAACCAACTTTTCTATGCATAATGTTTATTTACTCACCCTGACTTTTTCCCTTGATTTATTATACACACAACAATTATTTTGCAATAATTTAAAAATTATATACTTTAGTTATTACTGTTTATTGGCGAATATTTGATATTTTTACCAGCTTACTGCACAATATGACACACCTAACCTCGTAAAAACAATTAAAATCTATAAAACCATCGGACTACACAACACGTTGCCAGATTGTGCACTTCACGGCTTGTCGTTAGACAATATAGAGGGCTTTGAAACTACCTATGACTGGCAGGAAGTTTCCGATGTCGAACATAGTGCAAAAAGAGTTAGTAAGTTAGCAAGAGACACGCAGCTATAGGTAGATCGCAAAGTAAATACGAATAATAAATACAAATACGAACGAAACGAAACAAACGAGTAAATATAAAAAAATACGAACAAAAATTAGGGTTTTTTTTCAACCAAAACTTTTTGAATTTTAACTTTAACACGCGTGGGGACCATGGTTTACAACAACATAATTTAAAAATTCAAATTTTGACTTTTAAAATGACAAAATAAATGAAAAAACCAACCAACACAAATTACTGTCCACACCACAGATACCTGTAAATTTCTCTTATCTCCTGACAGTGTCGCCATCGTTGAATGAAAACCTAACTAAAAACCTTCGTCGCGATTCTCCCATTTGAGATATTTTTCTATAGGTGATATGTTCTGTGGTCATGAGAGACATTTTATAAAGTTTTCTGTTGGTCGTTTTCGGGAACACCGTTTGAAACATGTATCCCACGTCCACACATCCGGAAATTAGTTCGAATAAGACGTTTTTAGAAGGTTCTTTGTAACTGTGATATTTTCACTACCTATAAAATAAGTCTATTGGATGGTGTTGGATATTTTGAAGGAAGTCCAGTGAATGTTCATAGAGATCTTTGAAAAATGTCCTTTTTCGTTTTCAAGCGTTCGTATTAAGGCGTTTTTGAAACGCCCATTTTCGACGTCTATAAAACCTTTAAAGTGACATTTGCTCTAAAAAAATGCACCTTTGGATGTTCTCAGTTACTTTTACTGACGTTTTTAAAACGTTCTGACATCTGATCGGATAATTTTTTGAAACATTACTGTACTATTAGAGTATATCTACATAATGTATCTGTTGATTGTTGCCAAGAGTTTGGATTGGCTGACTCTTACTTTGTTTGTTATGTTTCTTGTTTTCTTATGTTAGTTTTTTTTTGTGTGGTTACATAAGTAACATAATAAAGTGTGTGATTTTATTGCTATGATGCTATGCCTTACTGTTTCGTGTAATTATTTTTTTTCACTGCAATTCAAGATCTCTCACATTTCCCCTAAGCGGGCCATGGGATCGGGCGGCAAATTTACTCAATGCCCAGGGCGGCAAAATACCTAGAGCCGGCCCTGATTTCTGTTATGGAAAATCGAATTTTCCATACGTTATCCCCAGAAGCCACCCGTGAAAATACCTTCATCCTACTCAAAATCGATGTACTTTTCAACCCTCTTCGAGGCTTGTATGCGAAAATGGGGCACCTAAATATGTCACTATCTGACGGTCTATTAGAATACCAAATTAACTGCACAAATTCTTTTGTACAAGAGGTACAAGAGATAGTTCCTTCTCACGAAAAGGATAGTAGTAGTTTTTTGAAAATTCCAATACAGAGAGACGACAGAATTTTTTTTTTTTCGATACTACCGGAGAGTCGACAGAATTTTTTTTTTTTTTTTCGATACTACCGATGAGGCCAGAGCTCAACCACCTTAGTTTGAGGATAGAAGAATGTTGGCGGTTGGAAGAAGCTACAAGAAATCAAGCCAGTTCACAACTTTGGAGGAAAGAAAGACAGAAACGTTTCACTGCATCTAATTTTGGGGAACTATCAAAACGGCGGAAGACCCCTGATGACAGGTTTTTATCACGAATTTTCAAGCCAAAGAACATTGATCATGTACCCGGCATAAAACATGGTAAAACAAACGAAAACGTAGCTCGTGAAATTTACCAGAAAGCTGAGCCAAGCGTTAGGGTGTTTCCATCAGGATTGGTGGTCCATCCAGCAGCTAATTTCTTGGGTGCTTCGGCGGATGGCCACTTAGTCGATAATATGGAAGTTGGACAGGAAAATGGAGTCTTGGAAATTAAGTGCCCCTTATGGGAGTCGTTGTCGAAAGGTCTTTTTATATATTTAGCGATATTTTGAAATTGTCATAACTGGGAAAACCAGTATAATAGGAAATATCATTATCATTATGTTTAAACATATCAATAGAAAATTTAGCGGCAGCATACGCCACATTCTTATATATGTTTTCCTGCCTGGTCCTGAATAAACCTTCATCAAATACAGTAAATGATACATTTGTAGCCTTAACGTGTTGGAAAGGTTGATCTTTACATTTACATTTTTCGAGGAAATCGTTATGGTTGATAAGTAACGTAGTGTATAACGTGTTTAACCGACAGCATTCTCGACAAACGGTATTTGCATCAGACTTCTTCAACTGCTCTTCACGCACTTCAGGCTCCACTGCTTCATTTACAAGGACCTTCTTAATGGCAACTGTGTTATCCATGTCCCCAATATTACACAGGGATTGGTAACGTTCATCAATTAAAGTGCCATTATTTATTTCCAAACTTTCTGTTCTCCTTTCTACAAATAGTATCTACATTAAATTAAAACTCTTCAAGCTTATTATTCACACTCCAGAAGATCACCAGCAACTGAAGCCTGACTTGGGGGAAGTAGTTGGGTGATTTCAATCGAATAAAATGTTGCTGAATAACAAAAATTGTACAGCAGTTACTTTTACTAGAAATATTGATATTGTTGACTATTATGTAGGTGAAGAAAAAATTGGTCGTACTAATGAAGTTAAGGATCTTGGAGTACTCTGACTCAGGGGCGGATGGGCCAACAGGGATTTTGGGAAATTTCCCACTTGTTTCCGGGCCGGTCCAGGACCGGCCCGGAAGCATACAGAGTGTTTCACGGACGTCGAAACAGGAGCGTTTTAAGGTATTTTAAGGTTGATTTGAAAGAAAACGCTCGGACTCGTCATTTTTATATTCAAGGGGAAAACTTTTTGACCCCATCGGTATTTCTCTAAAGTCCACCCCCTCGGTGGGGTGACTTTCACCCCAATTTTTTAGGGAAGATGGGGTGAGTGGTATCTTGTTTTAGAGGTATTTTGATTCTCATCACAACTGCGTGTTTTTTTTTGAAGATCAAATGATTGGGTATATTCAGGCGGTCCCAGCGGCTAAGCTCAGCCACTCAGCAGGGACTTTATTCTCGAAACCAAGGAACAGCCTTCTCATAAGAACGATTGCTCTGTCATTGTCAGTGTTATGCTGGACGACAAAGACAGAACTTTCGTTCCAATGAGAACGCTGCTCCCCTGTTTCGAGAATAAAGTTCCTGCTGAGTGGCTGAGCTCAACCGCTGGGACCGCCTGAATGTACCCAATTATTTGATCTTCAAAAAAAAACACGCAGTTGTGTCGAGAATCAAAATACCTCTAAAATAAGGTACCACTCACCCCATCTTCCCTAAAAAATTGGGATGAAAGTCACCTCACCGAGGGGGTGGACTTTAGGGAAATACCGATGGGGTCAAAAAGTTTCCCCCTTGAATATAAAAATGACGAGTCCGAGCGTTTTTTTTCAAATCAACCTTAAAACGCTCCTGTTTCGACGGCCGTGAAACACCCTGTATGCTTCCGGGCCGGTCCAACCGGCCCGAAAGCAAGCGGCCCTTCGGGAAACTTCCCAAAATCCCTCTTGGCCCATCCGCCCCTGCTTTCAGTTCACTGATTGTTCCCGCACTCCGCACTAATTACCTCCAATTAATAAACCTATTTAACTTGGTAATAATCCCACTAATTAACTCAAACTAGTCAAGTCATCTTGCCCACATCAGTACCGCCCTACTTGAATAGAATTTTCCGAATTATTAACGCGACGCGCATATAATTGCATTCTTAGAATCTGGAAGGGCTCTCGAGACTGTTTGGTAACAATATAATATTAGATAATCGGCGATAACGGATCATATAAACCTAATATTCACAGGATCAATCGCAATCGTTTCATCACTAAAAAAGAATTTACAAACAATTGAAATTTAAAAATGTGTTTATTTAGAACATTAAATTCGACAAATAATATTGCTTATAACAAAGTTCCTAAAATCTTTCCATCTCCCATAGTTTCAAAATAAGGATCAGTACAAAAATTAATACTTTTACAGGGAACAAAATGTTCAAAAATCAAAATCTCATTTTCACCTACTTTTAACAATGGAGCGGGCAAATAACCAGCTTGTTGAGGACCTACTTTGAAGTATCTTGATAAAATAAATCCATTGACTATAATGAAACCTTTATTCCACCCTTTAAAATCTATGTAAGTATCTTTGGGAGATGAGTCTATGTTCAGTTTTGCTTTATACAATTTCGGACCTTTTGTAAAAGTAGGTGATTTCCAGTTGGTTAAAGATTGTGTCCACTTACTCTTAAACTCTAACGGAATAATTTTCCAGTTTGATATTTTTTCATTGCCGATCAACACATCCCCTTGCCAAAGGCCTTTATACTGGTTAAACTGATGTAATTTTCCAAAGTTTATCCTTCCAAAATTTTCAACAACCAAATCTAGGGTAGCCCCCTCATAACTTTGTTCCCCTAAGTTTAGAGTTGAATTTTTTTGCCTCCAATAACCAAAACCATCAAGATCGTGTTCATTTTCAAAAATTTTAGAAACTAAAACTCCATTAATTAAAACTAATAATGTATCACTGACGTGGCCTTCAATTTTCAAGACTGCCCCAGCTTTTATGTCAATATTTTCCTTTCTGTACACGATATATCCATAGCTTTGTCCACTGCCATTGTTAATATCCAATTCCTCCATTGGCAATAGTCTTGAACTATTTATTATATGTGGACTTTGCTGGATTAAATTGTTCAAACTAAGTTCTTGACATATAATTGATTCTGGATAAGCTATTCTGAAAGATGGTTCCGGTGGATGAGGTTGCTGAATGTAGATGTCATTATATTTAGCAGTCAAACGTTGAAGTGCCAAATATTTATCTGTATAATCGCCATTTTCCGATAAAGGAGCATCATAATCATAGCTAGAAGTATCTGGCTGAAAGCCTGAATTGTCATTTTTTTTCCCATAAACATTCCCTCCGTTATAGAAACCCCAATTAGTGCCACCATGCATCATATACAAATTAAATGAGGATTTCCACATTAAGATATCTTCCAGAACAGCTTCAAATTTTTTCACGTCTCTATCATGATGTTTTTCTGAGAAATGATCAAACCAACCCGTCCAATATTCCGTTACCATCAAAGGTTTTTGTGGCTGGTGGGCTTTCAAAAGGGCCAGTTCTTTAGAAGCGCCTTCTTGGAAATTGGCAGTGGCTAGAATATTAGGTAAAGTACCTAAAAACATTTAAAATGTTTTTAATAAACTGCTGGACAAATGAAACGGAACAAGAGAACTTTTAGGTTAACTTCAAATTTCAATATTACGCGAACTAAAAAAGATATCAATAAGGGATTTGCGAAAATTAACTTTCAAATTACTCAAAACACTCATTGATATCTTCTTTAGTTCGCGTGATATTGGAATCCAAAGTTAAACTGAAAATTTGCTTGTTCCGCTTCATTTGTCCAGCAGTTTAGATGAAAATTTCTCCTAAAAATTAAAATAATATTTACCATGGAATCCATTTGACGGAGTATCAGATGTAAATAATAATTCTTCAATCCCATTATTCCTTAACAGGTTTTTTAAAGCCTCCAAATAAGCTATGTCAATAGGTTTTCCTTCTTCTTTAACATTGCCATATTCATTTTCGATTTGGACCGCTATTATGGGTCCGCCTTTGGTAAATTGTAAAGGTTTCACAAGAGGCAATAGTTTTTCAAAGTAACGGTCTACATAATAGAGGTATTTTTGGTCGGATGTGCGAATTTTAAGATCCTTTTGACGAAGCAACCAACTAGGAAGTCTATAAAAAAACAATTTAAATAAAACTTTAGAGTGAGAGCGACCAGCATCTGCGGAAAGTAGTACGCTTTCGCACTTAGCTGACGTAAAGACGACGACGGGTGTACCTCTAAAGTTAAGTCAGCGTGAATAAACGCCATTTTTCAATTCAGTCTGAGAAAATGGTGAATACGCAAGCATACAGTTTTACTATGATTCTACTAATAATAATTTGCCTTATCATTAGATATCGCTTTAGTGGCCTTCTAGTACGCCACTAACTATGTACAGGGTAATTTTTTATATTTTCCCCCAAACTTTTTTGTGCGACCGTGTATAGAAAAAATGTAAATAGGAAAGGTGTAGTGCTTGAAAAATAGTTCTTAGAAAATATAGTTTTTTCATACAGAGTGTTGCAAAAGGTTTAAAAAACAAAAAAGTATATATTTTTTTAAATGGGACACCCTGTATATTTCGACATTGCTGGATTCTGCGGAAAATTCTAGACATATTTCATGTATAATGTCATATACCAAGCTTCAACTGTTTCGGAAATAATGACAGTGAAAAATTGAATTTTTGTAACTTTGAGAGGCTGTAAAACCTAAACTGTCAATTTTACAGCAAAACCGATTTGACATTCCTATCTTAGATTTTCATAAGCTATCATTTGACAAAAACTTTAAATTCAATACGAAATTAAATTTAATTGAAATTTTTAATCATGGATTAAGTTCAAGGTTGGTGTCAAATGATAGCTTATGAAAATCTAAGATAGGAATGTAAAATCGGTTTTCCTTCAAGAGGAGCGTTTAAATAAAATGTCATTTACAGATATTCACAAATTTCTGTTCAATTCCAAATTTAGACCACTTTTCAGTGAAATGAAGTTATGTTCATAACAATAATAGATTGGAGTATAGTTCGAAGCATTTTTGGTTGCATTGGTACGCATTCTAAATAGTAAAATTATTACCAATTTTGTTGACAACAATATGCAAATTTTGGTCACGGATTTAAATGAAAAAGGGATAATAGTTATTTATACACCAAGTGAGTTAAATGAATGTTTATTCATGAGAAGAAAGTTTAGTTTTTCTCGAATGAATAAACATTTTAACTCATGTGATGTATACAAAATTTCATCCCATTTTGATGGACATTTAAAAAATTGAGTACTTAATAGGAATCAAATTATAAAAAGAATTCATTCAGCGAGCGCTAATGTCTAATACTAATACCTACTGAAACTGGTAGTTGCCAGGGTATAGCTAGTTGTATGTTTGTATTTGTAGCAGATTTTCGTACCAGCAGAGTGACTTAAAGGGCTGAGAGTGAGTTAATAGTTATTTTTGTATCAAGGGCGCAAAATGCTACCTATCTCGACTATTTTTTTAACTCGGCTGCGCCTCGTTACAAAAATCAGGTCTCGATCACCAAAGTATTTCGCGCCCGAGTTGCAAACAATATTTTTTTTCTACAAACGTCAAAAAATGACAAGGTTCGCGCATTGATAACAACATGCGAAGTGACCCTTTTCACTTTCCTATGTTACCATGACACCGTGCGCGAAATAGTGTGCGAAATACCTATTTCGCGCACTGCATGTTAAATTATATGAGATTTTTGTATTTTACCCTTTGTGGTTCTCAATCAAGCAAAAATCGAAAAAAAATAATTTGATGCAAAAATCGAAGAAATTATTTATTACTAAGCAATAAATAACACTTCAAAAAATATAAAAAAAATTTGCAGGACCTAATTTTATTTATTATTAACAATGTTAACACTAATGGTACAACGTGGAAGACTTCACCAGTAGGGTCGATATGGTGGTTACTCATCACCCCCCACTCCTATGACGTCACGTTCCTGACCTTGGCCTTGGCCTTGAAAAATGACCTAGTAATGTTCTGACGTCACACGACCTTGGCCTTGAGTTGCTATGTGACCTTGAATGTGCGCAGCCTTGAGTTGGCGCTTGACCCTGATTTGTTTAGATATATTGGAGTGATTGTATTTCTTTTGAATCTTTATTATTGCAAATGGAAATGATGTCAGAGTTATTTTTCACTAATTTTGAACCTCTCTATCGATTGAATTCTGATTTCAAAATATTTAAACCTCAATTGCTCGTTAACCGTTGAGCAAATTGCATTGAAATTTATAGCGTTTGTGGGTCTTAATAAGCTCCAAAACCCTGTAGTTTTTAGTATTCCCACGTTTATACTTTTTGAGCAAATTGGGTTTGAAGTTTTAGACAAAATTTGGACTAAAAATCAACTTGGAGACTAAAAAAAAAATTAAAAAAAAATTTTTACCTTGTTTTTTTCCCAATTAATTAAAAATAATTATTTTCTAGAATCCTTCTTAAAACTTAATGAAATTAAAAAAAAATACACCTAATAAGCATACAATACTGGTACTAGAGGCCCCATAATAAAATACCTAACAATTACATAATATTTCCTAACTCTTAACTACACAATATAGATTTTTGTCCTGTTCTTATGAACGATAATTTCTTTATTATTTTTCACAATTTTTACATTAGGGGACAAATCCTCTAATACTAAATATGGTCCCAAAAAACAGGGACTGGAGATCTTATCTTCCGTCTCATTTTTAACTAAGACCATATCTCCTTTTTTGTAAGAAATAGGGTTTGAAGTTTTATCATAATTTTGTTTTCGCTTCAATTTGGAATGAATTAAATTTTTTCTCGCATCATCGTTTGCCTTTTGTAATCTGTATTTCAGCTCTAAAGGGTAGTTGTCAAAATTATTTATAGGATCGATGGTATTGGTTAAGTTACTTGGAATGTGACATTTTCGTCCGAAAACTAGCTCAAACGGAGTATATCGAGTTTCTGAGTGCACTGTGGTATTGTAAGAAAAACTCCAATATGGAATCCACTCGCTCCAAGCAGCATTGTTATCAGATGCTTGGGTTCGGAGGAATGCTCCTAAGACTTTATGTGAATTTTCCAGTGCGCCTATACTTTCGTGATGATAGGCAGTTGATTGAAGATGATTTATTTTAAAGATTTTCGCAATTTCGGCCATAGTAGAAGAGATAAATTCGGTACCCCTATCAGTAGCTATTTCTGAGGGAATTCCGTATCTCAAAATAAAGTTATCCACGAAACTTTTCGCAACAGTTAATGCATTTTTGGTTTTCAATGTATATGCTTCAATGAATTTTGTTAATTCGCACTGAAGAGTTAGTATATAAGAAAATTCATTAATATCCGTTGGCAGAGGTCCTACCAAATCTAAATATACCTTTTGAAATGCAAAATTAGCTGTACTTGTAATTACCATGGGTTCTTTAATGTAATGATTTGTATGTTTCATTTTTTGGCAACTGTCGCATCTTTTTACAAATTTTTGAACGTCTTTATACATTCCTGACCAATAATAGTACTTTTTAATATTATTCACCATTCGATTAATTCCCGCGTGTCCACTAGTGGGCAGTAAATGAAAATCATTTAATATTATTCGCTTTTCGTCCTTGTCAACAATTCTTTTCACATCGCTAATAACATATATACGGGGACCGGTCCAATTATCATCTTTTATTTCTTTCAATATCCATTCAATAATGTCTTTATTATTTTTATCTTTTAACATAACTAATTCGCGAATTTTTAATCGATTGCTTAGAATAATCAAATCTCTCAACATTCCGTCTCGCGTCAATGTTGATCGAGCATTTTGATTAAAATAAATAGCAGCATGCGAAGGAACAAAATGGAAATCTCCCAAACTTGCGGACACGATATTTTTAAGTCGACTTATTACTTTTTCTGAGGCTGGCATTAATTCGATACTATTTTCAGGTTTTTTCAGTATTTCTACAATATCTGGTTGATCAGGCCAAACATTTGTAGTTTCCTCTGCTTCCTGTATATTAGCATTGGAATTGCGTGCACACTGGGCCCTAGTCAATACGGCAATTACTTTATCATTCATACTTTTTAAATCATTAGACGTTAAGGTGACTCTAGATAGAGCGTCAGCCGTCACATTTTCAGATCCCCTAACATACTCAATATAAAAGTCATATTCTTCTAAGCCTAACCTAAACTTTGTTAACCGACTTGAAGGTTCAGTCATATTAAATAGGTACCTATATTAAAGGTCTATGGTCAGTCAAAATTTTAAAACGTCGCCCAAATAAATAAGGTCTGAAATACTTTATCGCCCAGTAAATAGCTAAAAGTTCTTTCTCTATTGTCGGATAATTAACTTCCGCTTTATTCAAACTTCTACTTGCATATGCAACTGGTTTTTCATTGATATTTGATAAGGTAGCTCCCATGGCAATATTAGAAGCATCAGTTCGAAGAATGAATTCGCTTTTATCCGAAAAGTCTGGGTAGTCTAGAACTGGAGGATTAATAAGAGCATTCTTGAGAAATAAAAATGATTTTTCGCATTCATGAGTCCATTCAAAAATAGCATATTTTTTACAAAGTTTATTTAATGGTACAGTTTTTCTGCAAAATTTGGAATAAATTTTCTGTAGTAGTTTGCGAAAGCTACAAATCTCTTTAATTCATTTGCATTTGTTGGCCTGGGATAATTTTGAAGAGCTTTAACTTTACTATTGTCGGGCAAAATTCCATTTTCTGAAATAACATGTCCAAGGTAAAGGATTTGTTTTTTCAAAAATTCACATTTTGAGGGATTTAATTTTAAATTGACTTCACGAAGCCTGTTGAAAACAGCAATTAAATTTTTATTATGGTCTACGAGATTTCTTCCAAAAACTATTAAGTCGTCGAGATAAACAAAACATTTTTCGTAATTTAGTCCCGACATAGCAACTGTCATAAGCCTCGAGAATGCGCTTGGACTAATTTTCAATCCCATTGGCAACCTTTTCATTTGCCATTGGCCCCGATCAGTAGTAAATGCTGTGTACTTTCTACTTTCTTCAGTTAGCTCTACCTGATAATATCCCTGACTAAGATCCAAATGTGAGAAATATATAGCTCCTGCAAGGGAATCAAAAATATCGGTAATATTTGGAAGTGGAAATTTTTGGTCGCGAATTTGTTGATTAACTAATCTATAATCTACAACTAATCTTGTTGAATCCTCAGTCAAACCTTTTTTTGGGACTAACAGAACCGGAGAAGACCATTCACTCTGTGCTCTTTCAATGATGTCATCCTCATACATTTTCGAGACTTTCTTATGTATCTCATATTTTTGCGAAAAAGGCAATCTGTATGGTTTTACATAGGAGGGTGTAGCGTTTTTTTTTAACTGAATTGATTCTTTATAGATATTAGTGACAGTTAACTTATCGTCTGGCATGTGAAAAATATCTGCATATTTAGCACAAATATTTTCGATTGAATTTTGCTCTTTCGGGTCTAAATAGTTCAATTTTAGTAGTTCAAATAATGTTTTCACACGAGCCACCGATATGTCCGACTTTGAAAATTGATAGAATTCATAACAGCTTAACCTTTTTGTTTTAGGGATACAATTTTTCAAGCAAACATCAGTTTCCCGTTCCCGAGTATTTAAAATTTTTACTGGTATTTTTCCTTGTTCAGGTCTTACAATCATACCTGCTATAAAAACACCTTGGCATAATTCGCTTGGTATAACCACACAATCCTGTGTTATACCAACCGAAACATGACAAATTGTTTCACATCTTGGAGATAACATTAACACATTATCATTGCTATTAGAGTTAAAAGGTAAAATTATGGTATCTTCAAAATTTGTTAAAGATAATGTATTTTCTTCGTAGTTTAGGATACCATTATATTTTCTTAAAAAATTCTCGCCAATTATTGCATCGCTAGAACAAGTAAGTGACGTAAAAACGTAAAATTTTTCTTCAAAAGATATATTTCCAACTTTCAATTTTAGATAAACATAACCTGGTGAGGTTATAGTTCCTCCGACTCCTTTTATTTCTACATTGTCATTATACACTCGTGAATTTGAATTTAAAACATTTGATTTTATTGCGCACAATGAAGCTCCTGTGTCGACCAAAAATTTTACGTTTTTATTAAAGATAATGAAATTGACGGTGTTTGTAAAATTATCCGAATACGTAAATATTTCATTTCTATTTTTCCTGTTAGGGACGAAAAAAATTATTCTCCATAGAAGTCGTAGGTATTAGGTTATTCGCCCTCGACGTGCTAGCTTGCAAGTTTTCATCCTGACCATTACCTAAGTTACTCTCAATAACGTTTATGTTATGTCGCCTATCTGACCCAGAAAAACGATTAGTACGGGTTCCGCGATTGTTGAACCCGCCACGAGAATTTCTTTGAAAACGTTGACTGTGTTGAAAATTCCCATTATTATTATTCCGATTTGCATTATTAAAATTTATATTAGGGCGGTTTGCAAAATTTGTATTTCTATTGGAATAGTTATTATTCGAATAAGAACCTCTATTTTGAGAAGAACCTCTCATAGAGTTCCTCATAAATCTTCCTTGACCTCTCCTAGAAGCGGTATAAATTTGAGGGTTACTATTAAAAAATGTTGTTTCCTCATCTTGGGCTGCTCTAATCGCGTCTTTTAAATAGGAAAAATTTCGCGAGGCCATTATCGTACTCAGTCTCTGATTGCGAAGGCCATCCGTAAATTGTTTCAAAGCTAACCTTTCGTTTATTGGTTTCAATACGTTGTAAGCATTTTCATCTCCTTTTGCCTGAGATATTGTTAAATTAACGAATAGCTCCTCCAAATCTTTTCCAAAACTTTCAATAGATTTATCGCCTTGTTTAGAACGAAATAACTTCAATTGCAAAGCACTATCAGATTTAATAGTTAAAAAGTGCTTTTTAATGTCACCCAATAGATCATTTACTGAGTTATAACTAGTACTAAGTCTCAACTTTGCACTGTTTGACAACCTAGTTTTCAGAACAAATTTAATTAATAAAGGTTTACCTTCATTATTAAGCATAGAATCGTAAAGTTCTATTGCGTCGATAAGTTTTTGCGTAGTATTCTCGGTATCATCCATAATTGGTAACAAACTAACAGCAACTTTAAGATCAAATGAAGCCATTTCTGCTGCTTCGGTTTACTTATCTTTAAAATTTAGAATCTCGTCATAAAGTTTATTAATTTTTACTAGTAATTCGTTAACTAAGCGGATTTCAGAGTCATCAAGTTCAGAGTTGTCTATTTTTTGATTAATCGAGGATACTTCTCTTTTTACTTCCAAGTAAATGGCTTTTGCCTCATTGAGTTTTTGGTCAAAAATTGGAGTTTTGCGCCGTTCGTAATTTAATTTAACAATATAACTTCTTATTTTTTGCAAGGAAACATAACTTTTATCTAAAACACTATCGCCCATTTAATAACCAAGTCAAAAAAAAAGAAAATCAACTTTCCAAAAAAAAAAAGATTTACGCGCATACCTGTTTTAAGGGTCCATATTTTCCTTACTGGCTATCAATTATCAATAATAATACACAAAAATGTCAATCTTACAACACTAAAATATAAAATTACTTACATGGTTTCAATTAACTTTTAAGTACTTAATAATAGCTTTTTTTTTTCTCATAAAGTCTTAATTCAATGGAAATACTTCTTTGTTCCTACACTATTGCCAACGTATCATGTATCTGTATTATTTTTTGACTCTTGCATGTCTCATATCCTAAAAAAAAACCTAAAAAAGAAACTACTGCTCCTGGACATCATCAACTAGATTGTTTTGTGATCGTCTTAACTCGTGCTTGATAATCTCCCTTCTAATAGATCTTCTTGTTTTTTTCCTTATATGTTTTGACGAGAAAATGGAGCACTGCTAATAAAACAACGGCCACTATAACTATAAGTAGCGCCTCTGTAAGTGAAATTCCTTGGCTATCTTGACTTCTAGTGGTGGCATCGCCAGATCCAGATTGCGCTATTACCACTTTTTCCTCAATTTTGGACTGCTGCTTTCCCATTTTCTCCCAATTATATCTTACTTTTAGAATTTTTCACCAACATTAAGGCCTCTGGCAGGGTCGCCATGTAATAACTCGAGACGATTTGGGGTTCTTAGGCCTTCAGTAAATACTACTATGTTGGTTTACTTCATAATGTATATTAATTTCATAATGCATTTTCATAAGCGAACAGCGGTCATTGTACCTGCTGACTTAACAATTAGGTAACGGCAATAATATAATAATATAATATTAGCTAACTAATCAATTTGCACCATCAGATGCTATACCGGGTGTATTTACCCTATTACACTTCTGTGAAGATCGGAATCCGATCAAGTAATCTTTCAACTAAGCAACATGAAGTTTGACTCAAAAGATAAATATCTTCCATCCAATATCAAAATCTCTCTTACATGTTGGGTTTGAACTACGACAGTAATAGCTTTGAACGAAAAGAATAAAATCTTGCCTTAAGTAATTTTAGAGAATCTATAGGAAGAGAGTTAATGCTTTGGATCAAGAAACATCGCTCTTGGTTTATAGATAGGGAAGTTATTCGTTAATAGGGGAATAAAACGATTTATTTGGGCATTTCAATTTTTATTATATAATCCACAAGACAAAATTTGATTTAAAGAGCTTTTTGTTAGACTTATTCGATAATGTATTAGATTATTGAATAAGTGCGTAACGAGGTACCAGACGTGAACTGATCTCTTGTAGTATCCCATTAATTTTTTTTTTTTGGAAAAACGAAATTTCAAACAAAAACCCAGGCATTTACAAAAATCTACATCCTAAAGGTAACAAAAATATATACCGTAAAATGGGGTGACTTGAGACGATTTTGACTTTCAGCAAGCGATATTTTGTAAACTATTTAACTTAGCGATGACTTAAACACGCCAAAAGTTGAGTCCTAACCCGTAGAATCGGTTTTATATGTTGAGTTTTATGTGAATAACGAGTTACCCAGGGTTGGGTTACTTGAGACAACCATATATGTATTTCAAGCTTTTGCTCATGTTTCAAACCAAAAGGATCACTTGAGACAAAAGAAACGTTTTTTAAAAGGTGGCTATTAGCTCCTAGCGCTAGCAGGTTTGATATTGTCACACCAATGAGTGCTTGAAATCTGAAAATGTCTCTTCAAAAAATGCCGGACCTAATATTTTCCAGGCAAGTTATTTTTCTTGAATTTTTGATCACCCTGTCCGTCTTTACGACTTTACTTAAGGTTTTAAGTCGTTTCCCATAATTAGAAAGCCCCTACGGCAAGAAACTCCTAAATTATCCACAAAGCCTCTGCTCCTTTTGCACTGTAAAGACTATTTGACCACAGGGATTTTTTGTATTAGGATTATTCACTTTTCGTTGAATGGTGCACCTGGAAATGCCATATTTTTTTTTTGATAATATCCGTTAGGATTCACTCGTTCTTCAATTGCTCATTTCAACATTTCGCTATCATAATCAGCATAGGGCCTTCAGCCAAGGAGCCAAATCTTATTTTGTTTTTGCCCATAATAGGCTGAAAACACTATAAAACCAATTGAAACAGGCACATAATAACACTCTGAATAGTTTTGTCACCCGCATCAACCGCCATTTTACCTATATATATATATTTTTTGAAAAGCGAAAGTAACTTACTATATTCCAGAAGATGCACAAAATATCATTCTATTTTTGAGCAAAGTTTCAATAGGCAGTCCTAGACAGTATAGCAAGTTATTCAGCAATTTTTTAGTTCAACAATTACATGCATGCGTAAAAAAATGCACAAAAATTAACTTATCGCTTCCGCGGTGGTCCAAACATTACTATAACACGTCTTGACAACCCCCAATTCGAATAAATACGGTTGGCGCCCAAATGCGTCGGATATATTATTGCCAGGTATATATTTGGTTTCCTCAAAAGTTTTGTCTCAACTCGCCCGGCCGTCTCAAGTCACCCAGTTTGATGGTACACAACTTATCACTATTTAGAAAAAATTACACCATAATACGTCGTTTTAGGCTTCCAATACTTTCTGCCGGAAACCCGCCAACTCACTATTTCTTTTTGGGAAAATTCGAAGTATTATTCTGTTTTTTTTTATAAAAACGGTTGCAATTTGGACCCACGCACATAATTTTGAACGTTCATCCATTGGATTTTTTTAATACAGTGTAGCTACGGGCGTATTCCCAACTATTTTTGCCATAGCGAGAAAACTACAAATTCAAAAAATATAAAAAAATATATTTCGCGTAGAATTGCAATAGTAATTGGTAAAAAAAAATAACGGGAAACTTCATCCATTCGTTTTGAAATAAATTGTGGAAAACAACATTTTTTTTTTACGCTGAAATAAGAAAATTGATTTTGGGAAAAAGAAATAAACATTTCAAACAAAACATAGGGGTTCTCAAAACTAATTTTGATCCGCTCTATCGATTGGCAAAGTCAAAATCAAGCATAACTTGTCTTTGTTCAAAATTTTGAGAGCTCTGTGTTTGAAATGTTTGTTTCTTTTTCCTAATGCGGATGGAATATTAAAAAGGGCTTACACGTGTCCTACCTGTTTCTACCTGGTTGAAAAAATAGCTCGATTCTGACGGTCAGCCTTGGTTTTGAGATAGAATAACGCAGCCTCAAATCTAGAGAGTTTATTTCATTCATCCACCATCGCGACAACACGCTATTAATATGAAACCAACGGCTATTGTCAAAAATTATTATGAAGAACAAATGTTTAGAGCTGCTCCACGATCAGTAATTTTGCAAAGGTGTAAAAGCGTTGCTAGGAGAATAGTTCTAGAGGAATTTAGTGGGCCTGAATATGCAGGAACTACTGAAAACTTACAAAAGCTTCTGGAGTCTTCATTGAAATATTATTATTCATTATAATTGGGCACTCCTGGGTTTTTGCTTAAAATTTTGAGAGCCCATATGTTTTGTTTGGAATGTTTATTTGTTTTTCCCAAAGCGAACCCGTCGACCCGGGGTTGACAAACCACATTTTGCCAATTTTCTCCACTAATATTAAATTCACAAAAATACAAGAGACCTTTTTTGTTTATTACTATTTAATACATTAGGATTGTGCTTTTTTTTTAACGTAGCATCATTATACAGGGTGTTATGGTTTATTTAATTATCAATTTTCTTATTTCAGCGTAAGACCCAAAAAAAAAAACATGTTTCAAATTTTCCCAAGACATTATTTTCAGTTTTTCGGTCACATTAATATGCAGGGTGTTACAAAAAGTTATTCGTAATATGAATTACTTCGTTTTTGAGTTATATCGCAGAAAGTGAAAAAAAAAAAAATGTTGTTTTCCACAATTTATTTCAAAACGAATGGATGAAGTTTCCCGTTATTTTTTTTTTACCAATTACTATTGCAATTCTACGCGAAATATATTTTTTTATATTTTTTGAATTTGTAGTTTTCTCGCTATGGCAAAAATAGTTGGGAATACGCCCGTAGCTACACTGTATTAAAAAAATCCAATGGATGAACGTTCAAAATTATGTGCGTGGGTCCAAATTGCAACCGTTTTTATAAAAAAAAACAGAATAATACTTCGAATTTTCCCAAAAAGAAATAGTGAGTTGGCGGGTTTCCGGCAGAAAGTATTGGAAGCCTAAAACGACGTATTATGGTGTAATTTTTTCTAAATAGTGATAAGTTGTGTACCATCAAACTGGGTGACTTGAGACGGCCGGGCGAGTTGAGACAAAACTTTTGAGGAAACCAAATATATACCTGGCAATAATATATCCGACGCATTTGGGCGCCAACCGTATTTATTCGAATTGGGGGTTGTCAAGACGTGTTATAGTAATGTTTGGACCACCGCGGAAGCGATAAGTTAATTTTTGTGCATTTTTTTACGCATGCATGTAATTGTTGAACTAAAAAATTGCTGAATAACTTGCTATACTGTCTAGGACTGCCTATTGAAACTTTGCTCAAAAATAGAATGATATTTTGTGCATCTTCTGGAATATAGTAAGTTACTTTCGCTTTTCAAAATATATATATATATATATATATATATATATATATATATATATATATATATATATATATATATATATATATATATATATATATATATATATATAT